GGGCGATTGTAGGATACTTCATTCGCTCAACATCTGGGCGTTCTGCAGGCTTGGGCGACGACGTACCTTTGTTTTTGGGCTTTCATCATATTTAATGACATTTCTGGTTGGGCTTTTACCCTGATCTCTCTAGATGGACTTCTTCTCTTGGGCCATTTTCTCTCTTGGGCCATTTGAGTTGAGCTGAATATTTTGTGTGTCAACACGACTATAAGAAATTAAACGCAAACGATCTTTTTTTCTTTAGCTGAGCCACATTGATGTTGAATCAGTCTTAGGAATCTGTTCTTCAATTTCATTATTATGCCAATAAAGGGCTTTAGTGGGTCAATTAGCTGTGTTTTTTTTGGGAATTTTTTGATTCAGCTCGCTGAGCTGGCATTAAATAGTTGATGATTCTACTATTTTTTCATAACCAATTCATCAATAAGAAATCTTCTCATTCTCTCTGTTTTTTTCCTGCTCTGTTTTTTCCTAAAGATCTTGCGTTGGGAAATTATTCTGCATTTAATTTCCAGCATTTGGTATCTGAGCCTCAAATATCCAGAGCTTCTTTTGTTGTTTTAGATTGTTTGAAAGTAGGTTACAACAATGAACGGATCAATCCTGCCTCAATTTTGAAAGTTTAGTGGGAAAAAATCTTGATCATTGGTGTATGCAGATTGAGTCAAGAATTTGGATTAGGAATTACAGAATCTTTCTTGTACAGTGGAGAAGAAGCATATTAATCATAATTAGTCATAATTTGGTTTCAATCTAATTGATGAAACTACTTTTGATCCAAAGTATAGTCACGGTCGAATTGCAATGATTTTCATATGGGCGATAACTAGAGTAATTATTTTGTCGGAAGATGATAGATTATTTAATAGGAACAAGGATTTGTGACTTTTGTGAGTGGAGGTTGTTACTTACTTTGTATCAATAATTAAGTATTCACTTCAGCTTTTAAGTCAATTATATAACCACTCCACTCAAATTAGATTCAAACTATGTTGATTTAAGCTCGAATTCAAACACATCCTGAATAAAAAAATATTACTAAAATAAAATTCAAGTATGATATCCACTACTTATATAACATAACTCTAATAAGTATGCATAGATCCTGAACCCTATCACCTCTGCCAATCATCTTTCTGGTTGTAGTCTCCTGAATAATGAACTGATCATGAAAGAAGCTCAAAATAAGTTGAAATCTATTAGTTATTGCACTAGCGGATAACAAATTGTACTTGAATTGAAGGACAAATAGAACATCATGCATCATCAGTTTTGTACTAAGTTTGATATCTCCACAAAGATTGAATGGTATACGTGTGTGATTAGGTAGAGTAATACTTGAATTGCCAAAAGTTCTCAAGTTCACAAAGGCATCAACAATGCAACATACATGCTTGATAGCCGCTGAGTCTACTATCCACAAATCTTTTGATACAAAAGCAGGATTGATGGATATAGAAAGACATATCATTTAATGACACGTATATGCCACATAAACTGGCGTTCGAGCATCACTAATGTTAAATAGCATTATTCGTGCTAGATATAACGTTATTCTTTGGGAGATTAGTATTTTATGAGTAGGGGTAATGACAGACGGAGATTGGAGAGTGAAATTGCCGGTATTTAAGTAATAAAGCGTGGTTGGTTTTTAAGGTCTTGAAAACAACGGGATGAAAATGAGAGAAGTTAAAACTTTGATTTTTAGAATTTGAGATTCATAAAAAATAATTATAAAAATGTTGTATAATTAAGATATCCTAGGGTTTGTCCATAGTTGAGACAATATTAAGTGCTTGTTTGGTAAATATTAAAATCCAATTAAAATTGAAAATATAGTCGTTATTGGGTTCCACCCGTCTAATAAAAGTCAACGATAACATCTAATTTTTCAATTTTAATTAGATTTTAATATCCACCGAACATGCCCTAAATGAAATAGTGCATAAACGAGGAATTTATTTGTTAACTTATACAATTTTATTTAATGTATTAAATATGTCTTTGTTTTACTTATCAATTATTATTAGCAATAACTAAGAACATGAACATGTATCATCAAAATCCCAAAAAAATCAGCACCACATGTTAGATAAATGTAATAATTCAAACTGGCCAGCCCCCACCTGCCCACAACATGACAACTGAGTGCCAATTCTCTCCCACAGTGATAAAATTAACAAATAATGACAAAACTATTTGATATCTATTAAAATTCAGATTTTAATATAAGTTAAAGTTAATAATCAATTTTAACCATATATTTCAATGGATTTCACAAGTTTTTAATTACGTATTTAATTAAATTTTATTAAAATCTACTAAAAATCTGATTTAATCCCTACTAAAATTAAATGGTGTAGCAACTTCTCTTAATATTTATTACATTGATGTTAGCTGTTATCAAGTTTGAAAATTACAGCCAAGTTTGAAAAATCGTATTTAAGAGACTCAAATCTACAAAATTGAAAAGTCGTGAATTTAAATGGATCAAACGAGGACATCTTTGCTACATCACGTATAGTAAAAAATAAAAAAAATATATATTTATTTTTGACTAACGTGAAAATGAATGTTCAAGTAAGTCTTATCATACATAAAAAAGATAAAAAGATGTCGTCGTATAGAAACAGGTAAAACGAATATGTGGTGGAGAGAGTTCCATTAAAATTTTAAAAGATTAAAAGCATTTTTTTAAGTAAAAGTAAGTTATGTCAAGATAATTTACTTATAGAATTTTGCTTAAAAGCCAAACCGACCAAAAATTAAGAAAAATAAAAGTAGTAGAAGTGAGCTCGTCAATGACAAAAAGTGGGTCCATGCAAACGAAGAAATCCTCATTAATTTTTTATTGGGCGGCTAATTATTCATTTATTAAATTCTCCTCCCAATCATCAATTCATCATAAATATCAATCCTCTATCACAACATATTACACAGTATTGACTGTTGAGTATACAAGCTTCAGACCAACAACTTCTCCTCTGTTTTCTTCCCACACCCCGCCAATGTCGAAAGAATTCGAATCTCACGTGGAGAGAGAGGAGGAATACTCCACCAAGGACTACCATGATCCACCACCGGCGCCGCTCATTGATTTTGATGAGCTGAGCAGCTGGTCATTTTACAGAGCAATTATTGCTGAGTTCGTTGCCACTTTGCTATTCCTTTACATCACAGTTTTGACTGTTATTGGCTACAAAAGCCAGATTGACCCAGCTCACGGCGGCGACGACTGCGACGGCGTTGGGATTCTAGGCATTGCGTGGGCTTTCGGTGGCATGATTTTCATTCTTGTTTACTGCACCGCCGGTATCTCTGGTCAGTTTTATAAGTTCCAGCCATCTTTTCCTATAGATTTTAATTGGTACCCGCACCATAATAAGTAACTTACCCGTGAAAATAAGTAACTTTTTTCATATTTTGACAGGAGGACATATTAACCCGGCCGTGACATTCGGCCTGTTCTTGGGACGAAAGGTGTCACTGATCAGAGCAGTGCTTTACATGGTAGCACAATGTTTGGGTGCAGTCTGTGGTGTGGGATTGGTGAAAGCATTCCAAAAAGCTTACTATAATCGGTATGGTGGTGGAGCAAATGAGCTTGCTCCAGGATACAATAAAGGAGTTGGTTTGGGTGCTGAAATTATTGGTACCTTTGTTTTGGTCTACACCGTCTTCTCAGCCACTGATCCTAAGAGGAATGCCAGAGACTCCCATGTCCCTGTAAGCACTTTTTTTCTCTGCTAACCCCACCCCACTCCACCCCTAAGTCTCATCAATCCCCAAGAAAGGATTTTTCCTCAGCCTCATATTTTTTTCACTAATCTATCGTAAGAATACAACATATGGGGTTCATCAAGGTCCTAAATTGACTTGTTCACAGTCAATGAGTAGCGATAAGTTCTTGACCCAAAGTCCATCGATGAACTTGAGTTTGTGGAAAATTCTGGATTATATCCTTGCAAATATTGATTTATTTTATATATATGAAGGTGTTGGCTCCACTTCCCATTGGATTTGCTGTGTTCATGGTTCACCTTGCCACCATCCCCATCACTGGAACTGGCATCAACCCTGCTAGGAGCTTTGGAGCTGCTGTCATCTACAACAACGACAAGGCCTGGGATGACCATGTATGCCTCCCTTTTACCTCTTTTACTGATTATGCATACACACAATAAGTTGATCAATCCCTTTTTTTATGTAATTATTTATTTTGAATGTTAATGAAATAATTTGCATAAGCAAGACCCTAATTTATCTTTTAAGTTTTTACTCGAGGGTATCTCAATTTGATATAAAATCAAGTAGGAGGTCCCGAGTTCAAGTCTCACTTCTACTCATTTATAAAACTGTGCACGTCTCATGGCTGTGCATGAGGGCACATGTTCAAGACATAATTTAGCCCCTGTTTGTTTCGAATTAAAATATGATTTTAATCCAAGTCAAAATCAAACAATCAATATTAATCACATCTTTCATGGATCCACAACTTTTCAACCACTCATTTTAAAAACTTTTATTACAATTCACTAAAAATTTAATTTTAATCCCCACCAAACACCTTCTTCATAAATTTATCTCCCGTTAACACACTAATCTTTTAAACGAGGTGTTACCAAAGAGAAGATGTGACTAATATATATGTTCATATTCAGTGGATTTTCTGGGTTGGACCATTCATTGGAGCTCTCATTGCTGCAATCTACCACCAATATATCCTAAGGGCGGGAGCCATCAAGGCAATGGGATCTTTCAGGAGCAATGCTTAAGACAATAGTGCATTTGTTTGATGATCCATTCTCACAAGTGCATGAAAGTGGAGAGGACCTTGAAAACTGTACATTAATTCCCCTATGGATATAGGGTTTCTTTAATTTGTAATCCTATCATTTCCCTTTTCCTCTTCTTTTGGAAGTATTTAAGTTGTGTTGTATTTTCTCCACCCCCTCCCCTCCCCTCCCCTCCCACCCCTGCATTGTTACCTTTCCTTATTTTCTTCCTTTTTCCCTCCTTTCAAGTGCTTCTTTATGTATGATGTAATTCTTCATAAATAAGTACAATGGTTTGTGCTTCCTAGTCTCTCTCTCTATAACGCAGGAAAAAAATCAATCATGTTATAAGTACATATTTTTTTAACTAATAGACAAGACATGGCGTGACACCATTAGAAGATTGAAAAACAATAAAAAAAAAGGCCACTCAAGTTTGATCATGTCGTGTCGATATCAATTCTATTAAAATTTCCTTGTACTTAGAGCTTTATTGAAGAAAGATGGCCTATCAATTCGTAAAATATGACGAGTGCAGTTGAAAAGTTTACCTTTCCACCTCATTTGTTATGGTTTCATTCCTAGAATATGCTTATCCTCAACTTGTATATCATATCAACATACATGGATGGATGGGACATGGAACCACCGAGTTTAATTAAACGACTCTGATTAAAAATGATCAAGAAGAAGGTGGCTTGTTCAAAGTGTGATAATATGTATGTTAAATTCTTGGGTTAATCCATTTGTATATAATGATTTGTATATAATAGATTACCCCACTCTCACATAATGTACGGGGCCCGCGTGTATTTAAAAATTTCGACAATGTGGTCAATTGTGAGTAGTAAGTAAAAGATTCAGTAAAAAAATTCGATACATGTAATATGATCCTTAATTCTTTATCTATTGAAATAATTATTAGGGATTGTTCGACAGTTTTTTTTATTAATGTTGATAAAAATGTGGTTGAAAAGTTCATATAAGCTATGGATTCTGTGAAATTTGTAATTAAAATTAATTGTTAACCTTATATCTCAATTTTTTAGCAAATTTTAAGACTTTTTTGAACAATCATTAAACCTTCTTAGAATAAGACATTGTTATGTTAGGTCATTAGTGTTTCATTATATGCTTTTTTTAATGATTTTCAGCGATTGATTAGCTAACCCACCTTATCTTGTCCATGGCATACATAGATTTGACTTTCCAGCATCTTCTCTAATTTCGAGATATTTAATGAAAATCGACCCCAGATGACGTGAATGTACAAAGCCATGAGACGCCAATTATTGTCAACTCTTGGGCTCGAAATTCCTATATAACTTAAACGACGCAATAAAAACATTTTTATTTATTTTATAAACGATCGAATTTCATTCACTCCACGATTGAATTTTATGTAAATAAACCTAGGAAGAAAAATAATGCACATTTGTAAATGTGACATGACGGTTTTCATGATGGATGAAGAATAAGTCGACTCATATAGTTTACAATAACAGTTATCGTCATGGGATTTAAAGGTTATTTATTTAGCTGCCGTGGTATATATAACATGTTTTAGTGTGACGGGAAAAAAAGATGATAATTCAAGTTTTAAAATTATTGCATTAAAATACTTCAATATTTCTTTCGTCTTTGTACAAGAAGGTAGAGACTAGAGATCAATTGTGACATATAACCAAGATGAGTTTGGATAAAAGTTGACCACCCAAACATGGTGAAATAGCATAATAAATTTGCCAACTAATTAATTGAGGCAAAAATATCATTTTTTTAATTTCATTTGCCATCTAATTAATTAAGCTCAAAATATCATTTTTCTATTTTCAGTCCAAGTCTAACTTTGTAATTCAAATTTCAAATAATCAAAATTAAGTAACTTAATTTTTTCTTAATCATTATGCAGTTTAGTTGAGCGACTGCGCCTCTCTTCATCTGACCTTCTTTTTACCCTATTTATTGAATTTCTTCTACTTTGATCAAGGTAAACTTCATCTCATTTCTTTCTAATAATTTTGAACCGGACTATATCCGGTCCTAATTTTATTTATCAAACAAAATAATTTCATTTTATTACTCAACATTCATAGCTCTATTAATATCATCATAGCAAAAGGAAATAATTCAATTTCCAAAACAGAGGAACTTTTTTTTTTCTCCTTTCCTAATTTATTATTATTATTATTTTGTTGCAAGAACGTTAGCTTCATACATTGAGTTTTCAATGATACACAATGTGATGGACGAATGGGCTATGGGCCTATGGCATCAACTAGGTTGACCAGAGGATCACAAGTAGAATGTCAAGGTTTTCTGCGAATTTATTATATAGAGGGTAAGATTGTGACGATGGAAATATGTCACTTTCATTTTCCTAACTTTAGTAGTGTGACAATAATAATCGATTCCATTTGAATGGGCGCACATTTATTCGAAGTTTGAGACGGGGTGCACATTTTTAAAAGGTTTGGACATCTGAAATAAATTTTCCTTATTTTAATTAATTAAAGGTTAAAACTCAATTTGTCATTTTTAAAATTTATCAATTATAGTCAAAAGACTATCTTTTGATTACTAATGAATTTTTGAACGGAAACTTTCCAGAG